GCTGGGGAATTCTGGGAGTTGAAGTCCACCCATCTTCAAGCTGCCAAGGTGGAGAAACACTATTCTGGGTCATACGAGCTGTTCCTGCAACTGGGGATTCACAAATTTTACCTGCTGCCTGAACTCCTACCTAGCGATGGATTCCAACTGATAGCGGGGGGTCTCTGAGTCACTCACCTTCAAAGAATTTCCCACAATGCCCCAGAACACTTGATACTCCATCCCTTGACATTTGAAGTGGTGGGTGGGAGATGGCATTTGGAACTGCCCCTCCCACGTTGCTGGAACAGGGATCCACCTGATACTTGTCCTTCACAAGTGACCTCTTTGTGAAAATTCCTGGTTGCAGAGCAGCATGGCGTCTCTCCTTTGATTGACAAGGGCTCCTGCCTCGAAATGGGCAGCCCCTTTGGGGCACTTAACTTTTTGTGACCACGTAGCTAAGCCTTGCAAGCAAATGCTTTTCTTTTGAAAGGACACGGGAATGAATTTGAAGAGTCACTGTCTGGGGATCCAGTTTGCACTGAGGAGAGATCCTCTGTAAATACTCAGACCTATCCTGTGGAAGCAAAAGAAATCCGTAGCGATCTACAATACTTTGATCGACTCTTCTCCTCCCTCCTCGCTTTATCTGTAAGCTTTTCCATTGGAAAGGCAGGGGAAAAAAATGCCTGTTTGTAACCGTGTAGGGGAAAGGATTACGTTAATGTTTTATTAGTTTTTCATTAAGTTACCCCTTTGAAACTTCTTCGGCGTTCCTTGGAAAGGCATCGGTGTTGTGAAAGAGAGTGGGGAAAAATTCTTCTCCAAGGAGCATCCTCTTTCCAGGATCCATGAAATGTCAATAATGAGTAAATAAGTTGGAACTGTGTGCCCTGTTTTTCCATCCGCTGCTCTAGAAAGGCAGACAAACAAGAGTTGTTATGTAGGGTTAGATCTCTGGAATGGGGTTAGAGCTGGCTGGCCGTAGAGATGGGAAAGTTGCTAACAGCACATCAGTTATGACTTTCTGTTTTTTTTCATTATTAGCACTTGAACCCGATTTGGTCTTTCGGAATCTTGCATGGATGTCATCCTCTTTTCGCTCTCCCGTTACTCTTCTAAATCCATTTCCCTGGAAGGACCGGCTAAATTGCAGGGGCCCTTGGATTCTCAGCAAAATAGTTTACCTATTAATGTAATTAACTTACTCATTAGCAGTTAGTGGCTCTTTTGGAAAAGGCTGTTTTAGGTGAATCCTGCCTATCTGGGTGGATTGGTGTTTATTCTTTTTTACTGTCTCTTGTAAAGCTGGTCTGAAACGTCATGCTAGTCCAGTCTTTGCGGACCAGGGCAGTGAGTCACACCAGATCTAACCTCACAGGTAGGGTTGGATCCTGGCTTCTCCGTTGAACTCCAGTGCAGTACATTGCAGTTCCTTGAAACTCTGTGTGGGATCTCCACGTGCTCCATCAGAGTGCGCCATTGGGTTGGCTTGCTTGCCATTAATCTTGATGTTCTTTCAGCCCCAGGCAGACAGCTTTTTCTGGGAATCTATTCCTGGTTTTAATACCATCATTCAATACCACCTTTGCTTCTACATTTGAATGCAGTGCTGGGCTTTGCTTATGCTTGTAAGCTGCTCTGAGAAAAGACTGCTGGTGGTTTTATGTTGGCCTTTTTCCAAAGGTGGGGAGTAAATATCGAAAATGTGTCCTCCAGGTATTTTCCCCATAGCATCTTTTCTGAGTCTGTTTTTAAGACCTCTTGGAGTTTTTGCGTGATTCTGTTTTATGACTTGTTCCAGAGGTGGCATAAGCTTCAATAAAATTAGGAAATTGACGTGCCCCTTGATCTTCCCATGTAACCTGTCCTGATGTCATACGTTTTCCAACTAATCTGGAAATTACATCAAAGTCACCTAAACGAGCAGACTTAATGTCAGAGGCCTCTTATCTCAAAGTCATTTCCTGCTGCTGCGAATCTAACACATCTTTTAAATGCTTTATTTATAGGAAACCCACAAAATTTACAGACACAAGCTGGAGGAATTGACAAGCTTGCAGGGGGCTTGCAGCAGTTCTATCCAGAAGCAAAAACAGAGACTGAAGGAGTTGCAGTATAAATTTCAAAGGTGGGTTTCTCCCCTTTCTAAAAGAAGAGAATCTCTGAAGCTCAGGGTTGAATGTGGAGTCCTTGGTGCTCTCTGAGATTCGTGGTTTGCTTATAGACGTTTCATGACCCGACTAGGTAACATCATCAGTGGCGGTGAGTGTGGGCTTTGCTCCCTGTTTATATACAATAGCCTGCCCTGCCAGGGTTGGTGGAGAGTTGGTTTCCTCCTTGGTGGTTCCTGGATTAGGGAATTGTTTTCTGCTTGATTGTTTGTCTGGTTTTAATCCCCGCCTATCTGGATGCTGCCTGCTGGAGAGAATGTGTTCTGGTCTTTTTGTTTCCTTCTTAGCCTTTTTATTGTCTCTTTCGAATGGTGTGCAAATGTGGTTTATCTCTATATGTCAATTGATGGCTGACATGTCTGTATACCAAGCTTCCAGGAATTCCATAGCGTTTTTGGATTTAGCTTGGTCTAAGATGCTCCCAGTTGAAACTATGGTTGAGCCCGTCCATGTGCTGTAAGATTAAGGAGTTTTCATTCTGTCTTCCGACCGGTAGCTGGTGCTCATGGATGCGCTCTGCTGATCTTCTGCCTGTCTGTCCTCCCCCTTTTCTGTTCGCTTAAAAACTTAACAGTTTGTGGACAACTTGTAGAGGGGACAACCCAAGGTGGGGAAAGACGTCATCTTCCTGAAGTCCTCTGCTGCTGACATCAATCAGAAAAGATATTAAATACTCAGACCTGGGATAGAGTGGTTCCTAATGTCTCTCCCATTAAAAGTTCAGGATTACAGGCAGGAAAACATAAAACCAAGATTTGGAAAAAGGGAGTGGAAATGGTGGTCTTGAGAGAAGCCCTGTACTTTCTTCCCCCCCCCCCATCTGTTATTTTGCTGATGATTGTGTTTCTGCTTCTGTGGGTCATGGGTACGTTCTCGTGACCCTGATGGCTAGAATCTTAACCTTGCTTTCAAGGCCAAAAAAACCTAGGGCTTGGGAGTCTAGTTTCCAAGCCTTCCTGCTTCACGGTGGCTTGTTCTCTTAAAATTGTGCAAGAAGAAATACACAAGGGCTGTTCACTGTTTTCCACTGGTGTAATTGGCTGTCATGCTTTATTTTTAAACACCTGTGTTTGTGTTCATCCCACATGTCCAGATGCAAGAGCCAGGGCGGTTTAGAAACGGAGCTCATCCTGCAAATAAACAACCAGATCAGAGACCGCCAGAACGCTTTCTTTGACATGGAAGCCTACTTGCCGAAGAAGAACGGGTAGGCGTTTCCCGGAGGCCCGTCAGGAGCTGCAAGGATGGAGGCTTTGCAGAGGGGTGCTATTAAAAGGGAAACGTGTGACTTTGTTTTTCAAACCCTCTCGGTGTGGCTCCCACGGGGCCTGGTGTCCTTTTAGCACAAAGTGAAATGTTCCACCCAGGGAGCTGAAAGCTGCGTTTTGCAGAGGCTTTCCATTACCTCCTTAAGATCCATCTATAAATCTACAATTGGCAGAGGCTGCAGAGGAGCAGGGAACGTGTGGAGGTGTTGGTTGTCCTCAAAGAACTTCAGGGCAGCTGTTTGTGCTGTGGAATCTCCTCCTTGCTGCTCCCTCCACTTACAGTTTCAGTTGCCTCATCGAAACAATGCTAGCTGAGGACCCACCCCATACGGACCTGCCCAGAAGCCCCCAGCAAGCGAAGCCAAAGGGGGGGCCTAAATGGGAAAAGGCTTCTTCCTTCTCCTACTTGTTCCTCCAAGAAGGCTGAGGGCCCTACTTGTAGAACGGCTTCTCTGCCAAGGCCTGTTGGGCACCCATAGCCCAAGTATTCTTGAGTTCCCATGTTGTACCATGATGGGGGCTTTTAGAGATTTGATCGTCTTTTTGTTCTGCTATTTCTTAATGCACGGCTTGTTTTTACTCTTTTTATAAGTAAGTTTAAGCTACCCAACTCTGCCCAGAGTCATATATGTGAGATGGGCGGCCATATAAATTAAATTAAAAAACAAATGGATGGATGGATGGATGGATGGATGGATGGATGGATGGATGGATGGATGGATGGATGGATGGATG